ATGAAGGTTAAGCCAATTCTACGTACTAAAAGTCAAGATTGAAAGTTGTGCAAATGAGTGGAGACACAGAGAAGCCAGTGAGAGTGCTCTCTAAGAACTCAAAACATTCAAGAGTTTGAAAAAATATTGAAAATTGTCGATTTGGCAGAGGGGCATGTGATTTGAAATCATTAGTTCGAAAAGAGGTATTTATATGAAGGTTAAGCCAATTCTACGTACTAAAAGTCAAGATTGACAGTTGTGCAAATGAGTGGAGACGCAGAGAAGCCAGTGAGAGTGCTCTCTAAGAACTCAAAACATTCGAGAGTTTGGAAAAATATTGAAAATTGTCGATTTGGCAGAAGGGCATGTGATTTGAAATCATTAGTTCGAAAGGAGGTATTTATATGAAGGTTAAGCCAATTCTACGTACCAAAATTCAAGACTGAAAGTTGTGCAAATGAGTGGAGACACAGAGAAGCCAGTGAGAGTGCTCTCTAAGATCTCAAAACATTCGAGAGTTTAAAAAAATATTGAAAATTGTCGATTTGGCAGAGGGGCATGTGATTTGAAATCATTAGTTCGAAAAGAGGTATTTATATGAAGGTTAAGCCAATTCTACGTAGGCGACTATTTAAGTTTCTTCAATATGTATGTTTTAGTATTGCCCGATGCAAACCATTGTCATATTCGTTAAGTTTAACATTTTGTAGCATAAACGTTCTCAGAACGTTTTGTCATTCGATCGTTATTTGTATTGTTTACCGTAACATGTAAATTGCGTCTCAGCCAAAAAATGAATTTTACTCGTGAAAATTTTCGAGCGATTATTTTTTTCCACTTTCGATTGGGTGTATCACAACAACAGTGTTTTGATCAACTTCATTTGGCCTTTGGCGATGAAGTACCAAGTCTTCGGACAATTTATAATTGGTACAACGAATTCAAGCGCGGTCGCCTATCGCTCATCGACGAGTTCCGCGAAGGTCGTCCAAAATCAGTTGTTGTACCAGAAAACATCGATGCTGTCAGAAATATGATAATGGAAGATCGTCATGTAACATATCACGAGATTGAGGCATCCCTGGGCATTAGTGCGACCAGCGTATTTAAGATTTTACATGAACATTTAGCTGTCAGAAAGATTTGCTCTCGTTGGATACCACATAATTTGACAATCGCTCAAAAAAAGGCTCGTGTCGATTGGTGTAAACAAATGCTCAAGAAATTCAATCGTGGTGTTTCAAAATCCGTGTATTTTATCGTCACTGGTGGCGAATCATGGATCTACGCGTATGAGCCCGAAACTAAACAGCAGTCGACTGTATGGGTCTTTCAAAGTGAAGATAACCCAAC